AAATAGATCTTGAAAAACCGAAATGAAAAATTGATAAGAGAATACGATAATCTCTCCTATCTCGTCATCTGCGCGCTCAAATTGCCGCCCTCTCAGATCTGGAGTCATCATTTCCTGCGTGCGGGAATTCTATGATCATCTTCCTTTCGAATACGTGCATAAGAATTGAATAGAACGATTATGGATTTCTGACGACCCCCTGGCTTCTATTCCGAATCCCTCTAAAGAAATATCTCTATATTTCTGAAATACGAAGAAAACGTTTTTTCAATATCTATCAGGTGGATCTCGTATTTCGTTGCAAATTATCATCGATAATTCGATAAAACGAAATCAATAGACGAGCTCCTTCTGAATCCAAATCCCCAGAATCTTCAAAAAATAGTAAATATAATATATTCGTTTATTTCTCTGTCTATTTCTATTTATATTTATTTGGTAAATTCTTATCTAATCGTCATCTATCTTTATCTCGATCATTCTATTTATCTGGTCATATATATCTTATATTTATTTGATTATCTCTCTATAGATCTCTTATCTATTTGATTATCTATATATTCATATCTATTCATCTCTCTGAATCTCTTTATATATTATCATTTATTTATCTATATTAAAATATTCTATATAAGATTGATTGGATTATCTATCGATAATTCAATTTCTAATGAATTATGAAATTTCTAGATCGATAATTTTTAGATTCAAGACCGTTGGATCTGAAATTTTTTCGGAGAATTTTCGTTTATGAATGATACAAAAATAGATATATATAATATTTTGAATATTTCGACTGATAAATATATTTACATATCTATTTCAACCTTATTTCATATTGATTTTTGATTATGAATATCGTATTTTTTTCTTCCTTATTCTTTAGATATATATTTTTTCATAATTTCTTTTTATTTCTGACTTTCAATACATTTATCTATTTGAGGATTTCTTTATTGATTTCTATATATTTTTGTCCTTTTATTTTCCATATTCCTTATGGAGAACTAGCTAATTTTCATCATATCCTCGTCCGCCGATATCCGCGTGCTCTTCCGTCGCGCAAACATTTAAGACGCGTTCTTATTCGCTGAAAAATCGCGTTCTCGCTCGAAATATCTTTAAAAATCGCCCCTTTATTTAACGATTTTTGATCAAAAAATAGGAGACCTTGTCTTGAAAATGCTCTTGATAGATGAATCTATTCCCGACCCGATCGCGACTCGATTTTGAAAATTATATTCCCCTGCAGGACATCTTCAAAATTCAGATTATTCATTTTCAAAAAATTGCTCATTCGTGCGAGACAATTCGATTTTTTGATATTTTGATGATATTTTATATTTTCAAAAATCGCGGCTCCTGCTCGAGACATCCTCGAAATTTCGTCGATTTATCTTCATCAAAACCGATCAAAATTGGGCTGCCGTGCGGAACACGCGGAAAATCTGGATCATTTATCTTCAAAAATCGCGGCTCCTGCTCGAGATATCATCGAAATTTCGTCGATTTATCTTCATCAAAATCGATCAAAATGACGCTCTCGTGCGGAGCAGTCGGAAAATTTTGATCATTTATGAACGATGATGTTAAAGATTTCTATTCCAATCCAAAATCAAATGAACGTCATTCGAGATGGCTTTCCGGATTCAAGATGGAGGTTTTTGACTTTCCGAAATAGGATTGATATAAGATTCGTCGATATCGTTGTTCAAAATTTGATCGTTTACGAAATAGATCCTATATCAGTTCTATATCAAAATATTTCCTTCAAGATCGTCTTATTTTGAATAAAATCGCGTTCCCGTGCGGAGCATCTTGAAAATTTTGAAGAAAATCGCGCTCTCGTGCGGAATTCCCTTTTGAAGAAAATCGCGCCCTCATACGGAGCATCCCGAATATTTCGTTTTTCTTTCGTTCAAAATTATATTCCCGTGCGGAAATGAAAAACCATAAAAGAATTACTTATCTTATAGGAGAAAATCATGAGATCTCTCTAAAAGAATCTAATATAGCAAGTGATATTCTTGCTAGCGGCGGATATATTTATTGCTAATCAACAACGACTAATCTATAGACTCTACAAGATTTTAGCTCTCCATCTCCGATCTACAGATTCCGCAGAGCCGCTCCGCAGACAACCAAAGACAAAGAAATAATTCGAAATCTCGGAAGAATTTTGATCCTACGGCTCAAAATCTCCGGCCCGATTTTTGGGCTTCATTTACCTCTCCTGATCTAGCTGTTGCGCGGCAGATCGGAGGAGCGCATAAATACCCGTAGATAGATACGACCAATCTAAAAATTCTGAAAATTTAAGATCTCCGTCCCGACGCTATACGTTCCGCCGACCAGCCGCGCATGCAGTCAAAGAGAAATAAATGAAGCGGAACGCCGCTCTCGAGGGCAAGGACTGCAAATAGCCAAAAAGAAATGATTATAAATCTCGGAGATTTTTAGTTCTGCGATCCAAAATCTCCAGCCCGGAAATTCTATTTCATTTATCTTTCTTAAAGAGAAATTATTATGCGGCAGATCGGGGAATGCACGATAAATACGAGTTCCCCGGATCTAGGCGTTCCGCTGAGAAGCCACGCATATAATCAAAAAGATAGATAAATCACGTGAAAAAAAAGATTCCGGGGAGAAATATCACCCGTGCCAAAAATCTCCGAGATTTTTAGATTTTCTCAAAGGCCATGAATTTTTTCGAATTATTAGGGAGCTTGCGAGAAGACTTTTAGAGGAGAGCTAAAAGAAATAGGCTACGCACGATCGAAATTATCGCAAATAATCTCACTATAATATTCAAATATATATATCAAATATTAATTCTAATTTCAAAATTCCCATAGTTCGCGATTTCAAATCAATTTTTCATTAGAATATAATTAAATAGAATTTAGAATCTTAAATTTTTTGATTTTAATATAATATTATGAAAAATCGATGAAATATAAATCTATAATATAGAAATTTAGAATATGGCGATTATTCAAAATTCCTTTTCTGGGATTTAGATCTAATCATATTTTTGGGTCTTCATATGGGCATTATCCAAAATTATTTCATAATAGAATGATCTCTTCGTGGAATTCTTTCGTCAACGCCATCGCCAACTTTCGCATGCTTTAAGCCTTGAACCCAGTAAAAATACAAACGCCGCATACCCTCGACTCCAAAATCCTGAGAACTAACGAGATTCAAGACAGAAGATAGGGGGCTTGATTGCCTAACGTATTCTTTCGCGGATCTTTCCCAGATCTTTCGTAGATTTTTGGGGTAAAATTCTAAGACTGAGTGGGGGCTTCAGAAAGATTTGTAATCCTTTCACGCAATGAGAGTTTCTCCAAAGTGCCTAAATAATCCTTATCTAGGGGTCAGGGAATACGTAAAATATCAAGGAGATTTCATAAAATATTTTGCGCAAATCGATTGAAAGATATACGGAATCTCTCTACGATCAGATTACTAGAAGAAAAATATTTTGCTCGTATGAGAGCGACTAAATCTTATAATGCCTCATTTATGAAATCCAAAAATATTCTGCAAATTATTTTACCGAATAATATTACTATCATCTATCTTTTCACGAAAAAAAATAATCCTCTCGCGTCTTCTTTCACGAACCTGTCGCAAGGCCTTTAAACTAACTAAAATAATCGTCCAAATAAAAATCGAAGATAAAAATATAATAGAAAATATTTACTCGAATTTCCCGATGACGAGAAATCCGATACATAACCAATACACGAAATTATACGCAGAATTTAATGAATGAATAATCATTATAAGAAATTGCATATGAGCAAAATAAATAAACTATAAAATTTTCGTATTTTTTCTCCTTTCTATCTTAATCATATTCCATAATCAAAACGCTCAAAAATCAGACGAACAGTGCGCAAACAATCAAAGAAAATAATCATATGAAATTTTTAAAAACTATATATATTTCCGATGCTTAATCAATATGCATTCAATCACGTATGCAAAACTACCATATTATAAATTCTAAAAATATTTATAGATTTCCGCCCGAAAATTATACGTCCCAACGAATTGCCGTACAAATAAACAAAACGAAAGAAAAACCAAATCTCGAGAATTTAAATATAATATATTTATCTCTCTTAGACCCAATCTGCAGCGACTCGAAGGGGAGCCAATAAATCATCATATATAAATACGACCGTGCTGCCTCGAAGCACGACACGGAAAGACATCCTGAATGTTGCTTAGAAGCCCGGTCAGCCTAGATTCCTGTCATAAAGACGGCCAGAACACCAATATCATCCTCATGTGGGATCATTAACGCATCTCTCAGAATATCCTGAGGTGAAGTGTCATGCCCACAACAGACCCTGGAAGACAAGCAGCTTGGATAACCTTTCGTGATAAAACTGAAGTAAATGAGCACGACGAAAGGTTGGAGCTCATTCTCTTAATGTCAGGATACATCCACTGCTAGCTGGACGAGAGTCACAATTTTCCAGGCGCGGCCGCCTCTGGAAGATGCATGTATTGTATATATTGGGACCTAGATGGTCCCTAAACCCTATAGTCCCCCTTAAGTAGATAGAATATGGATTTGGGTATATTATAATAACATCCCCATATACTCCATATTCCATCTACTTAAGGGGGACTATAAACCTTGAACCCTGAAGCTATACAATGGAAAGCATCGCCGCACTGAGCACCTGTGGTCTCCATAACCTTCCTGGCTTGAAAGTGATGGAGACAGCTCGGCAATGCCTGGTATTCTGAGATTGGCCAATGCAGCGCAGCAGATTGGCAACGAAAAAGGGTGCACTTAATTAAATCACGGCTGCAGGATTCAGGAGTCTCTAAGTGCCAGGCAAGTTACTGGAGCTGTTGTGCAGCAATTGACTTTGGGCGCACGCCAAACTCTGCGTAGGACTCCGAAAGCCAAACCCGTGCTACAAAATCTTCTCAATTTTCGCCATTCACCGGCCTACTGGCGCTGCGTGAAGGCATCAGAGCTGTACAGAACGCCTCTCCTGAGAGGCTGCGGCTCCATCTTCTTCCACTGCCTTCTTGACTGCATCTGCACGGTCCTCTTAGAAAGAGACTTTTGTACACACGCTCGAGGATCTTTTAGGGTTGTGGGGAAATTCAGGCAATGCGGAGTCCTTGTGGCCACGCCCGAACCGACCCAGCAGGACCGGAGCGTCCGCCGGAGAGTTGGTTGCTTCTCCCGCGACTGTCTCCTTCTCCTAGTAGAGAATTACGTACCTTAATCAAAAGGTTCCTTCAGGCTGTACAGCGGGGCACGGGCGACAAAAGGAACAAAAAGGTGTATAAGGCACTTGCACTTCCTGTGAGTCCGTCGACTCATTGGTATTGTGCTCCATGCACATGTTGGGGTTGTTCTCAAAGATCCCGCTCACACTCTTCCTGAGTCAGTTGGGTCAGTTGCCAAACCAAGGCCCCTGGTTGCTTGCAGATGTTCTAGGACGCCTAGGACCCCTCCCAAGGCATGCGCAATGTTCTGGCTAAACAATGAGCATCTGTGTTTTTGGCTGCTTTGAACCGCTGAAGAAGCATTCAGTTGACATCTGAGGACAGAGAACGACCAAAGAATTATGGCAAATCGGCAGACAACTCCATAACAAACAGGGGTGGCAAACAAAAACCCAGCTTCACGAGCACGGAAATCTCTGCCACGGTCTCGGCGAGCTCCCCTGTTCGGCTTCGCACGAAGTCTGCTGCAACGTGTTCCTGATAAGTCCCCCAGTGTGCAAGGTGGCATGACGCTCCTACAACAGGCTATCAACATTAGCGGATAGGGCAGTCGCCCCTTGTCCTTCCCATGTGACTGTGAGCCAATTCAAACACCATGCTCATCTAAAACTTTTCATGGGTATGCGTGTAAGGGTACTGTAGATGAGCCGCAGAAAAATGAAGCTGCTATGCAGACACAGAAATCAAAACATACGGTCAGCACCTGTATTTCAAAGAAGCCGTACACCCTGAACCCCCAAAACCGGGTTGCTAACAGGGAGCTTATATCAAGTTACAGTAATGTGGGAACCACATTAATTCCCATCTATACCCACTATGGTAATTTAGAGTAAGTTCCTTAACAGCAACACAGCAAACTGGCTCCTTCAGGGGCGGCGCAGGATTCTCCTCTGCCGCCTCGACGTCACTCTCCTGTTTGGCTGGGTACTTCAAGATCAGCACCAACCTTGGCCCCCAACAACGGGGTCTGGAACGAAGGTTTGGAGTTTAATTAAGGTTGGGGTAGGGCTTCGACACTCACATAATGGTTTACCAGCCACCAAGCCTGAAAGGCATGCAAGTTAATATGTTGAAATTCTAATGCTGAATTTGTTCTACAAAGCCAAATGAGCCCCTTCATAGCCCGAGAATACTACCAACAAACAACAGGTCGGGGATTGTAGCAACCGTCATCAGACTGGCATGTTTCACAGAGCTGAGGGGCCGGCCGGCCCGGCATGAACGCTAAACACATTAATCACTTCCCCAAATAACCCCAAATTGAGACTGCAAACCTTAACCACTACTGTCACTACGCTGTGGCCTTGTACTGTTCGATAACCCTGATTTTGAAGCCCCGCAGCTGGATGAGAGACAGAAGCATCCCGAAGACGTTGGGGGCCCAGACTGGAAGCTTCTGATTGCGCAGGCCAACAGCGAGCCAGCAGAGGCTGTTCAGAAAGCCCAGAAAGATCCTTTTGGTCTTCAGGGTCTGGGATCCATTGGGGTAATATTAGGGAGGGTTCTAGTAGGATAATGGAAAAGGAAATGGAAACTACTATAATGGGTTATATAGCGTCTGAGGCACTGTTCTCGGCCTTTAGGCCTCCAGGTTTAGCGGTTGGGGTGTAAGCATACAAACCTGTCCCTGGTTGTTGTGTCTTCTTCCTCCTTCGGAGGTGCGCAAACCCAAACACAGGAGTTCACACTACATGCGGGACAGTTGTGAGCAGGAAGCTCAGCACACCACAAAAAGCCCATCATGCACACCCAAGATGTGAGAAGTTATCTCGCAACTCCACAATGTGCAGAGCATGCACCATTCAAATGTGAGCAGTGAGCTCACCACACTAGGTGGTGCAGGCATGCACTGACATGAAAAGCCCACCCCACTTGAAGCCTTGAGCTTGAGTGAGCAGGCCATGAAACTCAGTCGCATCGCAAGTCGTCATCGACACTACAAGCATATCATTAACGGAACTTAAGGTATCTCCTTCAGGTTCCACCCTAAGTGACTGACAGGTCACAACCACTTCAACACTCATGTCTGTCTGTCCCTGGTTGTGATTGGAGCTCTCATGAAGGTTACCCTGGAGTCCCTCTATAGAGTGGACTCCTGGCCGTGGGAAAGATAGTTTGATGGCTAAATATGCAGTCCAGTCAATCCAAATCACTGTTAGACCAGAAGATTTTGTGGTGGCTAAGGACAGTCATCAGCAACGTAAGAGAATCTGCCGTGCGCCAGACAAGGATCTGCATCACCGGCAACGGCGCCGACGATTTTGTCCGAATCACCTCCTGCAGAACCGAGAGTGGCGCTGCGTACATGATGATGCCCACAAGCCTGTCGCGGTCTCTTTGAATCCACGGCTGATTTACGCTCGGCCGTCCTAAAATAAATTCGTCAATTTTCAAAAGCAAGTTTTACCGATGTCTACTCGATTCTCTGTGATTCTCCACTTTCTGTAAACTCTGTCCGATACAAAGCTTATTCAGGCTGCTCCAGCAAAGGCAAATGCTAGGCTTCAACTAGCCCTGCTGTGCCTCTTTCCAGCCTGAAATGCCAAGTGGCAGCTCCACATAGCTGTAACGGTCTAAGACACAAGGCCGAGGCGCATTCCCAAGCTTCCAACTCTTCCTGGAGCGCGCTCGCCCCCGACCCCCGCATACACGATGATCAAGACTGACAAGCCCAAGATGAAGATCGTGCTTGCACAGGCCTGACAATTCCTGAGCTGTTCTTTGTTCTTGCAACATAAACGGCATCAAACAACTTGGGCCCTAACTGAAAAGACGGGAAGCAAATGATGAATTTTCCATGGAAGCAAAGCTTCCATCGATCAGCCTTCTCATCCCGCCGCGCAAGACACCAGCACGTTATGATGCTAAAGAAGCCTACAGCTACACCATAGGCATTGCATGGGATCACCTGGGCAACAGGCATGAAAAGCCCATAGCCCAGTTGTGTTGCGCAGTTGAGGAAGAAGCAAAGCAAATTCACCGGATTGACGTTCTGCACCTTTGCGGGGGTCGCAATGACGTCGATAGTCTGAGTCAAAGGAGCGGTCATGAAAAAGAACGCGAAGCAAGTCGCCACCGTCTCTAGGATTAGGTCGCCCAACATGACAGGCTGTGCAAAGGGACTCTGGGCAGGGCGTGTGTGGAGATCAGACGAAGCCTTGAGCCAGAGAAATTCAGACTGCTCCTGGCACCTGAAGCCGCTGCTACTCTTATCCATAAAGTTCCAGCAAAAGCAGTTCTGTCAAGAATCCCGAATGACAGGCAACATGTTCTAACAGAGAGTGCCCCTGCACATCAAGTCAGATGGCTACTTAGGACTTTGGGCTATGCTTCCGCTCTCATTTCGAACTGCCCAAGGCACCATTTCACAAGAATGAAGTGACAGCTGAGCACAAAAAAGGCGCACGTTTTCGACCGCGGCTTCTTCGACGATGTTCATGCTGCACATGCCTGTCCACCCCGCATGAAGCTCAGCCACTTTGAGGGCCCAGAGAAAGAAACAACTCGTTGCCACAGCTTCAAGCTCAAGACTTGAAGGAATCAAGTAGCCTCGCTTTCGTGAGTTGGGATCCCACATGTTTTTGGACTCCAACTCTTGACCACTCACTACCACTAACCCTACCACCCCTAGCATCCAAAGTACTACTGGTACTACCACCATGAAATCATGGCTTGGGTATCTCTGGGCCCCTGCAGCTCGCCCTTCGGGCGAACTTGGCGGCGCACACAGATATAATCTGATAGCACGCGGTGGTGCGCAATGAGGGAGGTGGAAGATCTGACCTAAATCCTAAACACTCCCTGATCCTCGGAGCTTCATTCAGCCTACTCTTCCCCTGAAAGGAGGACACACGCGACAAGTAGTCCATGTTGAGGCAGTCTTTGTCGAGGTCTGCCTTTTCCAAGTAAGGAATGCAAGGTTTGCTGAACAACATACCCTAACAGGGTTCTCCAACAAGTAGAATAGGGTTGGGGTGCATATTGGCATATTGCACAATACTATAGGCATCTGCGGACATTTTCCAGTCCGACCCACTGGCACTGCTGCGTCTGCTTTCAATCAACCAGAACAAAGGAAGTCCGTTACCAGGTTGGGACACAGGTTTGAGGAACAGCTGAGCTCGTGAAAATGCTGCGGTGGTCTATCTGATTGGACATCACACATTGAGCGAAGAGCTGGTCACAACATCTACTACCATCATGCCTGAGAGTACGCGTGCTGTCTAGGGGATCCCCTTTTTTGAGCCAGATCTCTTACACCTGCGTGGCTGTGGAGCAGTTGCGTCGTGGCATCTGTACCTTAGCAGGCTCCGACATGCACCACCATATCAGAATTTGTTGAGCTTCATCGCCCTTGACGTGTCAGACAACACACAGCAAAGCTTTCTAAAGAACGCCCTGCTGCACCGGCCAGCAACTTTTCCAGCTGTCTCACCTGCAGGATTCTTCGGCAAATTTGAGCTAACTTGCCAAGGTCGCATGCTAGTGTGTCTGCAAGGGTACATGCATCGAGTCTTGCTTCTGAAAACCAAAAACCTAAGGAGGTGCTGCTGCCCTCGGGCGGCTATCCCACTTGCAGTGCTACTGCCGGCGCCAGATGCTCAAGTTTTGGCCTGCCTTGCTGACTATGAGTGACGCTCAGAGAGGCCATCAGCTCCTCAACCTTGAGACCTGCAATAGACACCCTTGCAAGTCAAGACCCCTCTCCTCGAACCTTCAGAGTTACGCGGCACCTCGAGCTCCGGCATCCAAGCAGTGGAGGACGGTTCTTGCGCTAATTCTGCCCTGCGCGAAGGCTGGAGGTTCAGCTCGAATACCCACAAGCATGGTTTGGGCCGGGTGCTACTTGGTCGTGGGGTTACTTACTGGCTGCAAGGCACAAACATGCACAAACTAGTGCATCGGCGGCAGCGATTGTTCCTGGTGTTTCCGGCTGCCTTCCCCGTTCGCGCTTGTTGAGAAATGTCTTGAAACTACACCCCCTGTCACAACAAGCCGAAGCACTGTCCTTCAGAGAATGGAGATCTGGGACTCAGCTTCACAAAAACCTTTGTCATTGTTCATGCTGAGGATTTAATCGAAGTCCCAAAATAAAGCTTGCGAAGCTGTTCCAGCCGTCTTCTCTCTCTAAACAGGTGTTCCTAACTGCGTTGGCCTGGTCGGACCATCATCGGCGGATACCCCACCTGTGAAGCATGCTGTTTTAGCTGGTCGGCTTGAAGGTTTGCGGTTTGCGCGGCAGCAGCTAAACGTCCAATGCAGCTTCATTTGCAGCATATACTCGGTCAGCTTCCGCAGCGCATCTTGCAGTACTTGACTGATGCACGCTGGCCAAATCCGACAGCACCCTGCATCGTATACTTCTGTAGCACCTGCAGCCCTTGCTGACTTCCCCAATCAAAGGTGTCCTTGCATCACCTCATCCTACACCGCTCCTTGACGGAGATTCCGTGCTGATTAACCCGGATGTTTCAGCTTGCTAACATGGTGGAACGTGTTGGCCACAATGACGAGGGCTGTGAATTGAGCTGCTGCCTGGTCAGGCTTCATGAAAGCCCTGGGATCAACCTGAGCAAGCCGAGAGACTGGCCTGTCTGTGGACGACAACGCCAGGCGGGCTCCAACGGGCATTGCTCCCGGCCGCCCCTAGCTGCGATGGCAATCGATTCCAAGGCACCGCGGGATTCTGCTCCCCACGCCCAACAACCATTCAGGCTTCACAGCGCTTACATCATACTCTCAAGATCCTGCCTTGGAAGTTAAGGCGAACCGTTGTTGCAGCAAACAGAGTGATCCCGGCATAGTTGCTATGGCCGTGCCGGGCCAATCAATTGTTGCCTTGGACTTTTCAGGCCTAAGCTTGTCAAAGTCTTAACAGGCCTTATGCAGCAATGTAGAGCCTGTTCAAAGATCTTAACGCAAGCAGTGCGTTCTCAAGCGCGCGTAGAACATCTCTCCCCAAGCCCAAGACACCAACCATCACCAACCAACATAATTCCTAAGCTTAAGCGGGACCCTGAGAATGTCCCTCCAGTCCCGTTACTAATATACCCTGCTAAAGTCCCGAAGAAACCCCTGTCGGTTGAACAGCAGAAGGTCGCCTGGCGTTGAGACTGGATTGCGGGATGGCTCCTGCCTGGACACGGCTCTTGTTGGCGTGAGAACCAGGAAGATAGGAGAACCAGGAGCAAAGAAGCTTTCTTAGGGTCATCTAGCCAGATTGTGGACCCAGTGATGACATTGAAAACTTCTACTCTTACGGTTTTGGGAGCGTGGGAAGGGGGAAGGCCTTTGAAAAGTAGTACGAGGGGGACCCCTTTTCACGTGTTCTTGGAACTACCCATGCGAGAGCCTTGGTGGGCTCATCATCTTACAAGATTGCAGAGACAAGAGTTTCCTGGCTCGCATTGTGGCATACTGGCTTAATGTCTTGACATTGGCAAGGGTTCCTTTAAATTGACACATTCTTGCAGGTTTCAAGCCCAAACGGCTGCTTCGGTAATCGCTATACGATCAACAAAGTTACAGGTCCCCACAGGCGCAATGAATTACCCACCAAGAATCAACGAGTGACAAGCTTTTGTGCTGCCAGTTGATATCCAAGTCTAACAAAGACTTATGCACTGCGGAGATCGTCAAACTCTGCCGTTTATTGGAAACACGCAATACCTTCGTGGCAACCGCAGACACACCATGGCAAAATCGCAGACTTTCAGCCTCATTCTTGGCCAACCGTTCACCTGCAATCGCTCCAATACAACATGATAGTCGTCTAGAGAGAGCAAATGGCCAAGGAGGAGGGATGCTATAAACTCTACAGGCATTCATCGACCTGTTGAATCCCTGATCCGCACCGAGGAGCACAGATCTCAAAGAATGTGTGGGAATAGCCTACGTGACCAAAATCATGCGTCGGACAGCCTTGCTTCCACTGAAACCTTGCGTAGACTGAGTGCAGCCCTGTCCAGCATTTGATTTCCAGATTCCTGCTGAAGCCATCCGAAGCTAGTTGGTGTTGCTTAAGGCTGGGTGACACAACATACCATAGCTACAGAGGGTGCTTGGTTTTTTCTTGTAGATCGCGCCCAACGCATCTCACTAACACGGAAATCTCTGAGAGGCTGGCTGGCTGGGGAAGAGCGATATGCTGAGGAGGCAATAGCCTGCTGGGGTTTCACAGCACTTTTCTCAACCACTAAAATCCGGGCTCGCACCATCCACGCCAAGATTCATGCAAGGCTTGGATGGTTGAGATCAGGTTCGGGGGTTCTCCCAAACCCCCCCCCACACCCAAGTAGATGTGACCAGAGCACGGTCTTTCTGGAGTACGCAGTCTTCCCGCTCGTGTTGAACCCCGCCGTCGAATATTAAATGTCCCTGATAGTCACTCAAACTTCTGAGGGAGCATGCTTAACGTCATGGGGTGGGGAGGGTTTAGCACTGAAGGGCAGGTTTGTGTTGTGTTGGGCTGCATGCGGTGGTTGGCCCACGCTGAGAAATTCTGGATCCAGTCGGGCCCCCAAAGGATACTTTGGAAAGAAAGTCTGTCACATCATGGAGAACGCTTCCAGAAAAGTCTCCAAACAAAGCCTTGCTTCACAGCATCGTTGCGCTGGCACAGCGCCAAGACATGATGCTAGTTTTATCCAGCATCGCTCTCCAATTTAATGTGTACATGCAGAAGTTTTGGCATATCGGAGAGTCCCTATTCAGGATTCTAAATTCATAAGTGTAACTTGTCATGAGAATCTCCCCTATCTCCAAGAACCTACTTTGGAGCGCTGAGCGCTCAGCGGGGCGGGGCCCGCGTCGCCAGTCAGCTTGCCTCTTGCAAGGCCCATTGTAGCCACGACGCAGATCACGGTACAACTAGTTGGGACTTTGCTCTTCAGAAGTTTCTGTTGTGGTTGTTGACGGTCGAAGGCCCGTGTTTTGAAATCCCAGAGGTGAAGATCTGCAGCTCCCAGCCATGCATGCTTGCTGCGGCCCCGGCTATCAAATCTTGCTTCAGTCAACACCGGTGATCCGCTCAAATAAGCTTAAGCCTCACCTTCCCCTTTGGACTCCTTCAAACTTGCAGACTCACGAAGGCTTTCAATTTGTAGTTGTAGTGGGCTACATGCCCCTATATAACCCAACAACCCCCTGTACATCACGCTATCCAACAGGTATAGCCCAGTTGAAGGAAACAAGCCAAGCTCTGAAATCTAAGCCAGCAGTCTACCAAGCCTTGAAGCCTACCAATCCTGACCCTAGCCCTCAGCATCTAGATCCTGAATCTGAGGCTTACAGTATTGCCCGCACGTTCATAACTGTACAGACGTGGATCACAAAAACCTGTGGGTTGCTTCTTCCGTGCTCGGTTCTAATTCTGCTCCTGCACTGTCATTGCTCTCCGTCATGCAGATTCATCCTGCTTCTGATATTTAGTGAGCCCTGCCAGCCTTCTGTGGACACTGGCGCTGGTGGGTCCTCTATCTCCTCACGCTCAAGGGTACAGTCGAGTGCTGGCTTTGGAATAGGGACAAGCTGTCCAACAAAAATCACATGTCATGTTAATCATTGAACCGCTTCTTACAAGACATATACCCGCTTGGCATACTGTATGTCCCTCTGCTTCTGCACATGCGCTCAGCCGTGTCTTCAGAGATGGACCATGCCCAAAGCCGCAAAAGTCCTCTTCGGAATCTTCGCGCCGTCCCAGACGAAGGGCGGCAGCGGCGCCCACCACCGCCTGGTCGGATTTCAAAACATTCAAAGCATCAAGCTTGACCAAAAAGCAGCGGCGGACCGGGCTGAAAGGGCTTTGGGTTGAGGGTTCCGGGCAGTTGACGCTGGCTGCCTTTCTTCATGTGCTGCAGTTCGTTCGGACAGGGCTGGGGGTGAGAGCTCGCTCTGGCCCAGTTCGTGTCATGCGGCCAGAAGCAGCTCTGCTACAACTCATCCTTCTCCAAGATATACGATGTAAGCTTTTAGCACAGAACGCCCACTGCACCTCAACCAATCGTGGTACTTTTTAGAACTGCCTGAATTCTGGCTCCCGCCACTCAGATCCATCCCGTCTGCGCCTTAGCTCCAGTCGCCACAACGCGGCCCATGTGCTCAGAGACCCTGCCGGTGGCACGCCCCACCTTTCTCGTCAATCTTCCATCTGAGGGCAAGCACTACCTAGGGGTATGTGGGAATATTAACCCCAACCATGCAGAATCAAATGGAACAGAACATGAAAAATGAAATGACGACTATGATTAGAGGTTTAGGGCTCATAGCATAACACTGAAAAGGCCCGGCATTTCTCAGAATCGGGGCTTTTTATGCCCTGGGATCCCCTTTCTAGCGAACCCCCAGCAAGCGGACCCTTCGATTGTCCAGGGAGAATTCAGCAGACACAAAAACATCCAGGCACAGGACTAACGACCACAAGAGGAAGTCACCTACAGCATGGTGTAAAAACAATTTCATATTCCATTTGATTGAGGTAATACCCCTACACACATGTATCTATATACACGTATAAAACTTTGAAATTATATGCCCCCTAATACATGCTCCAATGAGTAGTTTTTACCTTCTTTTCCCAAAGGTGGTATCCTTCCCAGGATCCCGACGGATTTCAGGCCGCGAGCCTAAGCCAGGAGACCAGGAGCGTCCAATGCTGTCCACTGTTCGGGTTTATGGTTCCGGGTGTAGGGCTTGAGGTTACGGCTCAGGGTGTAAGGTTTGCTGCGATGTTACGCGGAGCATGCGATGCACAAGCTGCAAGGCAACGTAGAGTGCATCCCGGCTTGCGAGGTGCTGCCATGGCCTGACTGTAGCAGGCCATCTAACGCATTCACCCACCCCACGCCGTCTAAGGCGCCCAAGCCACCCAAACCTACTCCTTTTAGGGTTGTGCCCTTTTCTCAAATAGGTCCATCTTGATCAAGAAGACAAATTCATTTTCATTTTACGCTGTCTTGTTGTTGAAGAGATCTGGAAGCTTGGGAGGCCCTGAGAGGCCCCTGAGAGGAAGCCCGTAGAGAGGCCCTGGGAGGCCCCACAGAATCCTGAGAGGCCCGGCCCCTGGGCTTTGAGCTACGGCTACTCGCTTGTGCGGGTGGCAGCTCTGTTGGTGGCGTGTGAGCACCAGGGCTCGCGGGAGTTCCGTCCTCTGCGGCAATTCTGTTTTGTTGTTATTGGAGGCAGCCACACCCAAAGGATATGCAAGGAGAACTCCTTCCGGTTCCGTGGTTGCTACCGCAACGGTGGCTGTGCGGAGGCGGGGAGTTTAGAGTTTATGGTTTCAGGTTGAGGGTGTAGGGCTTGTCCACTGTGAGGGTCTTGATAGATCCCCTTAAGTGGATAGAATAGATATTATTGTGAACTCATATTCTATCTGCTCAAGGGGGACCATATCGTTTACGGTGTCCATTCTGGAAAGCTATCTCCCCGGTACTCTACAAGGAGTACTGCCAGGATCATTGTGGGTTTTGCATGAACGGAAGGAGCACCAACAACTGTGCAAACATGATCAGCTTTGCAGTTTTTTTGGGAAAGCATGGCTCTTATTTGGCGGCAGAGTCCTTCCAACCTTGTGCTCAAACTTGTCATGCCGTGTAGAGGGGAAGGCTCAATATACAACAGTCCTAGTCATAGTCAGTAAACTACATTCCCTAAATATATATTATACTATAAGCTACTGTATTATAGTATATATATATATATCATACTATACTATACTGTAGTATACGACCTTGAGGCTCCAGCAAGCCGGTCCACCCAAGCTGGCATGGGGCCAACCCCCAGCTCCTTCGCAACAGAGATCTCTGAATGGCCGACGATGAAAAAGGGGTCTCCCTTTGACTTGAAGACAAGATCAGAACCAACCATAAATATACATAATGTTCCAAATGGGACAGGTAATCTGGGGCACCTACAGGCCATTGCTTTTGTGAGGATAGAAGGCGTGGAGATTGAGGTTGGGAAGCTCGGGTAGGCTTACAGCAGGAACACAATTTAGCGTTGGATGACTCGGAGGCTGTGAAAGGAGGCAGACCACCTCAAATCCGATACAGGCTTTGAGGGCGGGGCCTTGACGAGAAACCGCCCGAAGCTGCAGCAGTTGTGCCTGGATGATGTTGGACGGGCTACTGATGCTTTAGTTTCCATGGTATCTCAACTAAGGGGGTTGTTCTTGCTCTTTGTCTTGCTCATGATGCTATCGTTGTTGCAGCTATCCTGAGCCTTGTACTGACCGTTTACTGCTTTGTCATTACCTCATTGAAGCATACAGTACAAACGTCATTGCTCTGACCTGGCAGGTTGGGCGCTGACTCATCCACAGAGTGCCTACGCGGCGGATGCTTTTTTTCCCAGGCACGGCTGCAAAAGATTTTCCTAGGCGCGGCTTTAATGATTCCTTGTAAGCCACTACCACAGCAAGGACTGCTATAGCTGCGGCCAGGAAAAACACGACTGGAGGGAAGGAGGCGTTTTCCTAGGTGCAGCTGGAAGGATTCCGTACAGCCACGGCAGGGAAAGAAACCATGTCCGGGGACCCGGACGCTTTTTCTTCCAGAGTACGGCTGTAAGGATTCCTTAAAGGTCGAGGATTCCAAACAAAATTCTCAGGACGCTCCACGCGCCAGCGCTCTGACGCGCCGAAACAGCGAGAGGTTCCTCAGTTCCGCCCAGAATTTCGACGACGCTCCGCGTGCCCGTGTCACGCGTGGAAGACAACGAGAGCGTCGTCCCTCATGCTCAGAGTTTCAAGGAAGCTCCACGCGCCTGCGTGATGACACGCCGAAGACAAAGAGAGGTTGGCATAGGATTGCCACTTACGCCCAAAATTTCGAGGACGCTTTGCGTGCCGGCATCACAACACGCCGCACCCACCGAGAAGGTTGCCGTTTTTACCCAGCATTTGGAGGACGCTCCGTGCACCAGCACTCCAAAAATAACGAGAGATTCCTCAGTTCCGCTCAGAATTTCGAGGACGCTCCACGTGCCAGAGTCACGACGCGCCGAAAACACCGAGAGGGTCGTCCCTTACGCTCGAGTTGTGAGGATGCTCCACGCGCCAGTGTCACGACGCGCCGAAAACAAGGAGAGGGTTGCCACTTACGCACAGAATTTTGAGGACGCTCCACGTTCCAGCGACATGACACACTGCGCCACCGAGAGGCTGGTCATTTGCACCCAAAATTTCGCGGACGCTCCTCGCACCAGCACTGCGGCGCGCCGAAAACAGCGAGAGGGTGGTCATTTGCACCCAGAATTTCGAGGACGCTCGGCGCATCAGCGTCACGCCACACATGGATCACCGACCATTCCAAACATGATGAAGCCTAATGACACTGATGAAAAATCATTCAGATCATGAAAGCTGTTGAACAATGACGAAAGAGGATTACGAATGATGGAAATTTACGAATAATGATTAATAATGATGAGTAGTGATCAAAAATGTAAAGCGTAGTGCATAGTGCGAGGGGTGCTTGGGGGTGACAGCTCCCGCAGTGTGCAAACCATTGAAATTGAATGATGTGACCATTGATGAGGTGGATTCATCATATCAGACATGATACGGGTAGTGTTTAAAAGCGCAGTGGCAGTGGGAGGGTGAGGGGTCAACACTTTAAGTAAGTAAGGATCAAATCAAACAAGTTAAATAAGAAGTAACAAAACTAAAAGCTCCGAATTAGCCAAAAATGAAAATCAAGGATCAACAAAAACAATCCATTGAAATTGCAGGATATGACAATTGCCGAGGTGGATCTTGATATTAGACATGATAGGGTCAACAATTGAAGTAAGTAAGGATCAAACAAGTTAAATGAGAAATAACAAAACTAAAGCTCCGAATTTGCCAAACATGAAAATTAAGGATCAACAAAGACGAACCATTGAAATAGCGGGATGCGACAATTGCTGAGGTGGATTCATGATATTAGACATGATACCGGGTGTTTGAAAGAGCAACGGAAGTGGGAGGGTGAGGGGTCAACAATTTAAGTAACTAAGGATCAAACAAGTTAAATAAGAAATAACAGAACTAAAGGTGCGAATTGGCCAACATGAAAATTGAGGATCAACGAAAACAAAATTGAGGATTGGAGCGCGTGAATACTGTAAATGGCAGAATTCAGAGATTCGGAGGAGCAAAACAAAACCAAAAAAGGATTAGCCAACAAAGGATGAACATGACGAGAGATGATGAAAACCAATGCCACATGATTGATAATGATAAACATGACAAACACATGTACGAAAGGTGAAACATGATTCGAAGTTGCTAAACATGATGAAACCTGATGACACATGATGACAAACCCTTCAGACTGATGAAAGCTGTTGAACAACGACGAAAGATTATCACGAATCATGGAACATAACGAATAATGATGAATTGTGGTGAGTAATGATCAAAAAGGTGAAAAATGATCCAGAACTTTTGAAAATCACATGAGTGATGAAGAAAGATATGTAATGCATGGAAAAGGATGAAATCTGCTTGCAACACAATGAAAATTATGGAAATGATGATAAGTCATGGGAAAAGAGCGAAACCTGATGAAAGATGATGAAATGTCATGGAACATCACTAAAGCTCATGAATAGTATGAAACATGATGAATATTTATGGAAACCTATCAAAAACGATGAACATCATGACAACTTACGACACATTTTGATCAATGATGCACGTATAAAATTGTGAATGGAAATGACGACAATGAAAAGTTATGGAAACATGCAGACCACAGCAACATGCGCGAAATGATGACTAATGATGAGAAACTATGACAGTGATGAAAAATGAGACATGACCGACCGACCGACCGTCTCAATTCTAAACAAGAAAAAGCTGTGACCGCGGGTGAGCAGAGCCTCTCAGCCACGCCTAGAAAAAAACACAGGGCCCTGCCTACGCGACGAGAAGGGCCGAGTCATAACGGCAGCGCTGAGGTTCCAGGCTGGCCATTCATTTTTGGGGGTTTCCCCAAGTTAGGGGTACCCTTTCGGGGGCCCCCATAATAAGGAATAAAATATATTAGGGTCTATACTGGGTTCCCCTTCTTTGGGAAACTACCATACAATCAAGTTTGAAACGATTCAAGTTGATGTAAGCCATTCACCCCCTACCCAACATAGGACTGTTTGAGATTCGGGCACCCGGCGCTCCCTGTCATACTCGGGGTTGGACGTACATGGGGGGTTATCCCCAGGATCTTATCCAGATAAATTCCTGAGGGCATGATGGGCAATCGAGAATATATATCAAAGGGGATAGGGTCTCAGGAATCACCGATTTTGAAGGTTCATGGGGCTTTGACGTGGACTGGAGGCCTGAAATGAAATCCCTTACGGGCCTAAACTGCGAACCTGAAATTTTGGCATGCTTCCTTAGGCGCCGTCGTCGCCAGCCCTCGCCTCCCACTATCACAGTAGCAGGCTCAAACTTTGTCGTCTTTGTCGTCAAAACCCTGGCCTCCCACTATCACAGCGGGCTTTGTCGTCGCCAGCCCTCGCTTCCCACTATCGCAGCGGGAGGCTCAGACTTTGTCGTCTTTGTCGTGGAAACTGCCTCCCACTATCACAGTTGGAAGCTGCCTCGTGCACCGACATGAACCCTGTACGCCTAACCCCCAACTGATCATCCACTGACATGAGATGTCCTGGGTTCACCTTTCCACCAAGGCTAACAACATATATGAAATCAAATCCCGCAACAGTCACAGGGACCCAAAATGAAATCCTGGATGAAGAATAGATAAAAACACAATTTGAGGTTTGAGCCCATAGATTTCATTTACCGCATCGGACCCCGATTCTCATTGCGCAGAACGCTCAACCTTCTTTGGTTTCGAAGCAGGTGGGAGAATGCATCACAAGGCGAATGACTCTAAGAGGACTGCAGGACTCTAAACTGGCAGGTCCACATTTTTGGACTAAGTACAGCTCCCATAAACCATGTTCAAACATTCACATGCGTCTTGTCCATTTAAGCGCTTTGGCTAAGCCCATGGTCAGGGGTGTAGAGCCAAGGCCGATACCCAACGATTTCGTAGTCATCGCCCATGAATTCCTGCCGCGAAAAACAATCCGGCTACTGCGACGGGTGGCCTTGAGTCTGGCTGCTACAAGCTGTTTCCGGATTTGACCCCCCCCAGGGTTGATACTCCTTTGCTAGGGCTTGACAAAGAATTCTGTGCGAGGTGGTGCCCGGTAGAAAGATTAGAGACGACTTTGAACATGGAAGCCAAGTCTTGTTAAAACAAGGATGAGCCTTAGCCTGCTATGTGAGTGCGCAAGGGGTATGTCCAGCTGCAGCACGCACGCTCCAGTCGCCGCTGGGCATCTCTTCGCGATACACAAGCCGAGAAGCAAGCTAGTTGATATTGCAACACTACCTCCTGGACACGCACGCAGAGAATCCCCAAATCAGCAGCATTAAATTCCTCTCCGCCTGTACAACCGAATTGAATGCAAAACCTATGGCGATTGCACCCATATACTGTCAGGATGCATAGGAACCCCACAGGCACCCGTAAACCTTTAACAGCTCCCATCTAGCTCCTGAACCACGCCTCTCACAGCCAGATACATCCCTATAAGGTCGGTTCGTCATTTTTGCACCGCAGCCGGACAAGCCTGGAAGGCTTTCCGTAAGGTGCCAGCGAACTGAGCCTTCTTCCGGATTGAGGAAATAGGATTACACGGGATTTAGGTTTCGTGCATTTGGGATTTAAATGGACTGAGGGTTTAGGGTTGTGTTTTCACCGGACCGCGACTATGCTATCCCACAGTAAGACTTTCACAGCAAGGCAGTATGCATGACATCCTACTGAATATAAGTCTCTTACCAGTGGCACAGGCATCACAATATCTACCGTATTGCCAAGCATACCACAACAATCAAAGGTGTGTTCGCGGAACTACAGGAATAACATCTTCGCAAGAGCATACGTGAACGTCATTTCGCTTCAACTGGTGCACCCAGGGTAGGTGGAGAGAAGGCCCCATAAGTATGCTGATCAAAGTTAACCTTGAACCCTGTAGACCCTCACCGTTCAGGCTGAGGACAGCCGTGGGCAATTTCCGAGATATCAAGAATGGGAACCTGATCGGAAGGCTGAAAGTGGAGCTGCAGAAGAAGAGAAGAGCAACGCCCGCATGAGTGAAGATCTTACACGTCGGGGTCATGGGGCTCCGAAGTCCTCTTTCCAAAATTGAACCATTTTATACATATCATACCGTTGTTTCGCTCTCCTGTGAGAGGATACTGGGCGCTGATTGTGTTTTGCTCAAGGCCTCGTTGAGCTCCGTTTCGCCAAGGAGGACGCTGCACCTGAGGTTCGCGTGTAGGGTTTTCGGAGGGTGCCGGATTGCTTGGGGTCTAATTATGAAAAAATGCTGAGGGCATCACAAGTGTTGCCATTGCTGTTGAACTGTTGGAAGGCAGGTGAGGATGCATTTAGTGAGGCGTTGCAGTTTCTGGATGATACGTCGATTTCTCAAGCCGCCCCTAACAAGGAGCACACTTGCGCTAGGAACACTAGAGGATGCCGGACGACCTGTGACATGTATAGACCTCAGAAGGCACAATGATGTGCAATTGCAAGCCTTCACGCGAGACTTGAGAAGAAGTTTTGCTTCCCCTGCAGAATGGACATGTCAGCGGGCCCTGAAGCCCGCAAGTACTCTTAAATGCAGGCAGCAGCACTTGTACACGTGCCGTGTCTGCGTCCGCGGAGCGCTCACGCTGACCTCGCGGAGAGCTGCGAGTATAGCGTGGGAGCTGATTTGCATAGCCGTCAAACAGTTGAAGGCTTGTAAAATTTGGGGATCCCCCCCCCCACACCTAAATTTACTAATCGCAGCCGATGCGAGCTGTAGCCATTGGCTCTTAGCTTGTGCCTTGGGATTGGGCTTAAGACCTTGGGGAGATGCAGCGGGCGTAGCCCACTTAGAAACTGGAAAGCTGAGCATAGGGAATGTCTCATCAAAACCCATACTAAGCCATACTAGCTCGAATGAGATAAGCGTGCCCAAATCTTGGTTGCCAGGACTGACTTAAAACGCATACGCGAATGAAAGAACATGAGAGCTGCGCTGTTGGCAGCTGCACAGTGGTGCACAGAAGCATGAGACTAGTAGTTGTGCGGGAAATTATTCTTGGAGACTGTCGTGCGAGTGGCTGATAAGGCTGAGGGCAGGGCGCCATAAAGGCCGTAGGACCACTCGCCTTGAAAAACCTACAGGTCAGACAGAGGGTGGGAGAGTTTGCCGCATCCTGTAAGCATGGCTGCAAAACATGCCTTGAGGAACTATCCGGTAGTGTGATGAGTATGGAAGCTTGGCACTGGAAGTGCCCCTACTTACAAGCGGCGTTGACGACTGCCCCACGAGTCCCCTAAACAAGGTCAGAAGTAGGGTAGGCTCTAGGTTAAACGTCTATATACGTCTCATTCTGCGGCACTGCCGCCGCCCTCCTCCTAGGCCCCGTGGACTGGTGCAAAGCAGCTGCATGGCCGGTTGAGAGGTGGATGATGTTAGGGAAGTTAACGTAGGAACGTCTGCTAGACGATGATTGGCAGCTCATCAGTCTTGTGGGGCAAGACTTGAACGCCACTTCGCCAAGGGAGCACGTACCCCAAAAAGAGCACTGATCGTCTTCGAAATCGGGTGTGCCGACAAAGGGCTCGATACATGGGAGGTCCAAGACCGTGGTCCAAGCCAGGGAAAGAGACTCACAGGGAAGCATTAGGAATCTAGGTCTTCAGGTCACTGGCCTGATGGACCATTGGATGCAGCCGGCAGCTGCAAGCCTGAACAAACTACTGACAGAAGAAGCCCATGCTCCAAAGCTGCCACCCATGAACCCCAATACAAGCTCCAAATCATTAAGTCGACCCCACAAGTCCCTATCCTAAATCCGATTGATTTCCCTGAATCTTGAGAGCCCCTGACCCCAAAAGCAGATCTGCCTCTACTCCAACGTGGAAGGCTCCAAAGCTCCCCACCGTGGCAACGGACAGGAGCGAGTTGGCCTTCACCTAAGCTTCAAAGCTTCAGCTCACAAGGTTTATGTGCTCAAATCAGGCTGCATATCCAGGAAACATGATTGTTTTGAGTTTTGAGTGCCGGCTGTTTGGCCATAGTCACTCTCGATGTGCCAGTGCCCACCCGCGAAGTCATGCTCCGTAACATCAAGCAGAGCTTCGCTGTGCGGGGCAACACATAGGCTGCAGCTCCAAATGGAAGACTCCGCAGGATGGTCCTAACGGTAATTCCCTGGCCAGAAACTTCGCGCTTTCTCTGACGTAACATTTGGCAAGCACTTCAAACCTGCTAAGACCTAGGGACCTAGAGGCAGTATCGGAGCAGGACCCCGAGGCTCCGGCAAAGGCTTCATTCAAGTTGTACACGTGTACCTCAAGCAGAACTCTTTGGGGCTTGGGCTTTTGCTGAAGCCACAGGAACTGTACATTAAGGTGAAGATGTCAGACTCAGCTACGTGACGCTGGCAATCCTGCGGATGTGAACATGTCACGCCCTTGACGATGTGGACATTTGGCAGTATGCACAATTCTACCATGGAACAGCGCAGATAGGGGGTGAAGCCTGTACTACTTCTGCAGGGTTGGGCAGTGGTTTTGGCTTCGTAAGCTCATGGCAATGATGCAAAGTTGGGCCATACATTTGGCATACACTCGTCTCATGTGTTGGCCAAGTTGGCCTTCCAGATGGCCGCCGAGAGAATGCAAAATCTAGGGGACCTCCCAGCTACTTTCAGAACCGCGCTCCGAAATTTACTTTAGACAGAAACATGCAGGGACCCCTTCATTTCATTTTTAGGCCCCGGCCCGGTCGGAGTCCGTGCTTCATGCTTTGGGGGCAGAAGTTCAGGCCCATTCTGCGTGTGAATCTCCAAGCCCTCCCCAGTACGCCTTACAATCTCATGCGGGACAGCCCCATGGTTCTGCTTACATGTCCAACTCTCATTCGCCAATGCGTCGACTCCCTTCTACACCACAGAACTAAAGCGACAACGGCAACTGCCCACCATTAATCCTTAAGCCCAAGCCAAACGTAAGCAGGTGGCAAGGACAGCCGATCTCGGAAGATCCCGCGGCTGCCTCAGGTGGGGAAGATCCAATTGTCCAATGTGAGATTCTCCAACTAGAGCGCCCTGAAGGTCCCTGGGAATATGTTTCAACACAGTGCTTGGCATCTACAACCTTCGGCCTTGACTAGAGACTTGGGAGAAGGTCTTCAACAAGGCTCGGGGTCGAAAAGAAAAAAAAACGGTGAATGTTGGGAGTTGAGATGGCCCAAAGTGTAGAAGATTGGGTTTTGGAGCCTCTTGAGGGTCATGGAGTATAGGCCTCACAGTGATCGGGTCCTTGTTCGACAACGTGGGTGAACGCCCTTTCCGGAAATAGCCATGGTCCCAAGAAACTCAGGAAACTCCTTGAAACTTGTGTGCGATAAGCACAAGGTGTGGGCATTCGCTTCGTTGGTGGCAGGACTAACCAGGACGAATGCATCATTCGACACAATATGGATTGGTGAGGAGGATGCAAGGTCAGGGACTATTGGAATGCTGCTATGCAGAGCTTGTCCTTCCCATGCTCTGAGCGGATGCACAACAGCATCTGCGCGTTATCCTCATAATTCCAGGTGCGGCAGCATTGTTTGCCTATTGGTGGATGCAACCGCAATGCAAGGGAGCAGTCACGGCTTGTGTGGTGGTTCAAAGAATAAACTGTATGTCCGCTGGAACTACTTGTGCTACAAATGCACGATGCCCGTGAAGACGAAGGCAGCAACGTCCAACATATGAAAGGCTCAGGCCACCAACCCCACTACCCAAGCAATGTGCTAAGACTAGTTGCTGCATCTCCTGTGTTGGGCTTGGTTCCGCTTGGTTATATCCAGAGCTTTTGCCGGGCCACAGCCATTGTCTGTTAATGTCCAGAAGCTGGAGAGGCGACGGTGTGTCCTGGCTCGCTCATGCTGTGAGGGTATCTGGTGGGATAACACGTCATGCCGTGAGTCACATTCAAACTATAAAAGGCCTTAGCAGCCCAAACAAGTTGGGCGCATCAGCCCTGTTCTGCACCTTCGAGGGAAAGGTAACGGCAAAAGCCTATGCCAAGGGTCCAATGAACAAACTTGAAGGAGCGAGGGAGCTGCAGTATCCTCCGGTCTGCGTTGCCCCGTGCAGGGCCTTGCGCGTTTTCCTTCATCGTTGTCACCTTTGTGAATCCTAAGTTGTTCGACCGCAGGCGTTGAGTAAGCTTTGCTGATTAAACCAATGATAACTGATACATCTGCCAGCCTCTTCATGAAGCTCCCCTAGATTCTGCGGAGCGCGAACCACGGAACACTCGAGCTTTACTTCCTACGGCCCAACCTCTTGCGATGCCTTTGGCGCTGTCAAGGTCAGGACGCTTTTTTCAGGCTTTCGCTTTAGCACGAATATTCAGCAGAGGTCTGGTGACTTCAAGATTTGTCTGCCCATGCCCGTCCTCAGAAGTGTGTCTGGAACGCACCTCCTGCACGCAGATGTGGAATGTCAAGCAGGACCAGGTTCAAGTTTATGGGGTGCTTTTGGAAGGAAGTGAGAAGATCAGACACGCACGGGTTCTTCGAGGGGTGGGTCCGATCTTCTACATCAGGCGGTCAGGACAAAGCGTACCCAACGCGTAGCATGGACATGTGAAGACGCGTCATTTCCGAAGCTCGCCCGCCCCTGCATGCGAAATCAAATGCCAATGCAGAGACAATGATGGATATATGTGCCAGGTAAAGTTGGAAAGCCCATCGCACACCAGGGTCTTTCTTGGGTCCGGACTTAGCTGTTGACAATGGGGACCAGCAATGGAGTTCAACTCGAGGGAATGAAGAAGAGACTCCCTGAAGAGCAATGATTGAATGCTCCTGGAAGGGGCAAGAAAACGCAAGCCAATTCCTGTTGTCCCTGCTGGAGCGAATGGGAAACGCCAGCAGAAATTCTCATGACCACTATTGTGATGAACTAGTGACACTACGTCCAGACTGTATGGGTCTTTATCAGGTTGTGGATCGGCTCCCCAGTATAATGAAACAACCTTCTGAAACCTTCATCTCAACTCCAATTATCAGATCTTCCTTCAGCAGCTGCTCGTGCGGCAACTTGGCTAAAAGATCGCGTTCATGATCGGGCACCTCGCTTCTCTTGTGTAGTGTATCAAGCTTGTTTACAGCCCAGAAGGTGTGCAAAAACTGGGGTCACGATTTGGGGTCACCTGTCACTTGCTTCAGAATATCCCTAAATAAACTTTGCCTTATCAATCCTATCTTGACATCTAAGTTGCACCTGCCAAGGACATGTAATGCCCTTCATCCAACCGTTTAGAGTGGGGATTGGGTGTATTGGAATTCACCGGAAACCTCTAAACCCTGAACCCCATGAGGGACAATCGCTGCGGCCGCGTTAATCAAAACATTGAAATGGAGTAGTCGTTTTTGGATTTGTGTTACTTTCTTGGTCATCTCTGGTAAAAATGCTGAAGAAACATTCTCGACTGAGGCTATAGAACCCTTGGATTGCGACAATTTCTTCATCTGAGTAAATCTTGTGATATGAATGCTTGTATGATGCCTGCTCTTCAGTGACCCTAAACCCTTCCCTTCAACAAACGGGGGCCTCTGGAGGGGGACCCGAGCCGCTAACACGGAGGCTTTGGGCACTCCTGGAAGATAGAGGGGTCTGTTGGGAAGCTTTGGGAATTACAATGGGGGGGGGCATAAATATAAATATGTATATATATATATGTATGTATGTGTGTGTACATACGCATGGTATATATATCTATCTACAGTATATAGAATCTATACATCGAGTGGTTGATGGGAAAATGAGTGTCTGGGTGAAATTTGTAGGGAAGATGAGCAGGATGTGCACGTCAACCTTCGGAATTGCGGGAAGGTTTCAAGGCGTACGTGGTTTTTCGTCCAAGCTGGGTTACTTCTTGACTTGCCTCTGGGGTCTATTCAGGAGGAGGATCTTAGGTCCTGGGAGTCTGTGAGGCACAAGCCTGGCCTTAACTGCGTACTTGTAGAGTTTGGGTTGTAAAGTTGTAGGCTTGGGGTTAGATGTTTACAAGGTCCAGAAACAGACTGGCCTCCACGCTCAGGATTCCAATGCTTGCTTGCACGGTCTAAATTAAGGGCGCCTCATCATGCTGAGTAGGTAGGAAGAACAAACATATTGCAAGCGCATGCAATACTCATGATGCTAGGAAGTGCAAATATGTGGATCAACCCTAGAACGGGCAGCCGGTATCCGCGAGCCTGTAACATGTTGAACATCTGGTGCTTGTTTGCATGCAGGTTGGGAATCATGAGATTTGTCTGCCGTACACTTATCAAGTATCTGGCTTTGTCAGTCTACTCAAGCTCACTTTCGCATGCCAAGGCCTGCAGAACCGCAAAAACCTTGTAGCCGGTAGACCAAATTGACATGATCTTGCTTAGGGCTATTGAGCCTACAAACATGGAAGCCTCCCGCGTATCCAAACAAGTGAAGCCCGTTCAGGCTTGACATCTTGAACACTTCAGAAGCTGTGGCGAGCCTCAAGTGCTCACCCGACTTCGAGGCACTGGCCTGTGGCTGCAAAGACGAGTCTAAGCCAGTTACCATTCCATCTTCAGGCTGTTGTGGTTTCTGTCAGCCTTAGACCCTGGCTTAGCTCAGTAGATTCGTCACAGCTTATGCTCCAGCTCAGACAACGAGGGCCCCAGTGTTGCGAGATGGAATATATATATATATACACACACATTACATGCCACTCATCTTTGATATCCCAGCTTCGCTGACCTTGCCCTCGCTGCCCTCCAGCTACGTGATTCTGCTCAACTCTTGCCCCTCCTGCGAACCCTACTGCAGAGTTTCACTCTACATGTGTTCAGTTTTTAATATATCGATTATCTACCCAAATATACCTTAATATACTATCATAATATAGTGGTTTCCATTTTCTTCTCCATATTATTCCTATATAACCTCTCAAAACAAAGAACAGAGTCCAGAAGTGCTGCCTGGCCTGGGATGGCAGGGAGTCCGGTAGGGAGGCCCAGTTCAACATGGCCCAGGGGTGTGCAGTTCTGGTTGGAGCAGCTTGCAGAAATGCCTGGGGAATCTGTGACTTCGGTACCAATCAGGCTTCAAAAGGGTGCATTGCAATGTGGGATGGCTGGTTCATATCACGCTGAACAAACGAACATGCAGGGCATTGCGCGATGGTCTTCCATGGTGTCAGTGTGCTCTTGATGGGGGGGGGACTTTGTTTACTTTGAGGCTCAGAACTGCGATTATCCAGGTTGGCGGAAGAGCAAGTTTGGGCATCGCAGGTGCGCCATCTCTGGAAGCTACTTTGTAAACAGCAAGCCATCCACACGCAAGCGGAACATCACCAACATCAGCACCAGCATCAACGCATACAAGCACCACTAACACCACCAACACCACCACCACCGCCGCCGCCGCCGCCGCCCCCACCACCACCACCACCACCACCACCACCACCACCACCACCACCACCACCACCACCACCACAACCAAGCATGTAAACAAACATCTAACTGCGGTGTCAAACCGGTACAAAACAGCAAAACAATTACAAATGCGTGTTAGATATCCCTCACAGAAGTTCTAGTTTTCGAAATAGTGGACAATGGCGACGGCTTGTAAAGTTTGAGCAGCTGCTCCGGATGCGAGTGGAAGTCAGAAGCGGATGACTTTTAGCGGGGCAGCTACCGGAAAGCAGTCCCCACGCAGAGTTCTTACAAAGAAGGCTTTATGGGGAAGGTGTCTTACCAGAAAGGGCCCATACCAAGAAGGCCCCTTACTGGCAAGCCTTCTACGGGAGTCTTTTGTGGAGAAGCTCAGCCTTCAAGGTTTCTTAGGGGACCGAACATCCTAAGCTCCCAACCAACTAAACTCTACCTCGACAGAAACTTGCATCCATGAGCGCCCTGGTATGGAATCTCTTCAGGCTACCGCAGAGGCGAGAAACCGAGAGGATCCATGTACATACGTCGTCAGCCACTGAAACACTGGTTTCTGCCTGAGCACTGCTCTTTTTTCTTGCTGCCGAGGCGATGCGGACGGCAGTGGTGTCGGACGCCGTTTTCGCGCTCTGCTGCATCCGCTTGTGCTACGTCTTTTTGAAATGTCTGAGTCGGTTGGGAAACATCAGAAGTATCTAGCTTGTAAGTCAGCGGCATGTTTCTCAGCTGCGTGAACAACAAGAGTTTCCAAGGTTTAACAAAGCAGGTTCCTTTCCCTGTTATTCTGACATGTCACTCCTCATAGATTGTAATTAACTATCTTGCTGTCGCAGAAGGCATCCTTTAACTTTCATATTGAACCAGTTCTGACAGGGGCTCACATCAGTAATTCGACTATAGCTCACATCATCTTTGCATCGTCATCCGCCAAGTAAGACGCCAGTGCACTGACCAACCTGGAAATAAAAGCTTTGGGTCTAGCGGAGTTCAGCGCTTTCGGAAACGGTAGGGTGGTTTCCCAAATTAGAGGTACCTTTTTAGGGCCCCCTATATTGTTGGGGGTTATATGGGGTTACATGGGGTAATATAGGCGTTATATATTAATATAGGGATAATGGCAAAGAACATGGAAACTGTCATGTAGGGTTTGGAGTTTCTGGTGTCTCAAAATTAGGGGTGTCTTTTTGGGGGCCCCCATAACAAGGATTATAGTTTTTTGGGGGTCTGCAATGGGGTCCCCCTAAGTTTGGACTCTGGTCAGAGACCCCAAGCATCCACAGGCCCGAATCCCTGGCCCCACACTAGCCATTTCCCATGGACGATTCAATTTAGACTCCATCCTCAGAATCAACCAGTAGTCTGAAACTTCCTGGCTCTCAAGCTTCAATGGATTCTTCACTGTCCCTCTCAGCCGGACAAACCTGTCCAACAGCGCTGAAGATCAACGCACTTCCTGAACACAACATGCTGTCGGGCTGCGAGACGCACGCGACGCAGGAGAAGACTATGCCAAGCACCCACTTGTAGACTCCCTGCACTCGAACCTGCTGCAAGACCAGGCTAAGGATCATGTTGGATGGGTGGGAAGCATGGGATCCGTGCGCTCAGAGAGCCTGGATGCGAAGGACAACCAGCACATCGCTCATACCAACTGGAAGTTCAGTTCCCCTGAAGCCCTCATTGATTTGCAGAACTTGCAGCACGCACAAGAAGAGTTTGAGGTTCAAAGCATGGCTGTTGGTTCTGAAGCGGTTCTTGTAACAGCAAGTATGCAAATGCAGTAGCTCAGTACCACCATGCGCTTGTTGACTGTGGTTCTTGGGTTCGGGGATCAATCACCACGGGGTCGAGATTCGTACGCAAGGTCAAAGCGATGTTTTGAATTCCATGCACAGCTAAACGCTCCTCACGGCCTTCTACATTCTCATATTGCTGTTTGTATGTTTCTGGCCTGCTCAGGCAGCACTTTGCTGCAGGAGAGGAGGTACCTGGGAGTGGCTTAGCATCACGGTTCTGCTTGGGTAGCAGCCGGAGAATTTCAAAGGTCTTGTACTGCAAAGCATAGCCAGCCACCTGTGCTCAGCAAAATTACTCATTGTTTTGCTGGGTTGAGGGTTTGAACTTACGCATTCTCAGACTTGGACATCCTGCCAAGAACCTACCAACACGACGAACAATTGACCACATGGCAGCGAATGCGGCCAAAAATTCAGGAATCTAGCCCCTCGTACTACAAGCAGGCACAAGTCGCCACATAAATGAACAAAACCGTGCCCCAAGTCAAGAATGGATGGACCTAGAAGAGTGCTTCCGCTAGGGTGTCGTCGACCTACAGAGCAAGCATCTAAGCTGATGTCGTTCCATGAGCCTTGAGTCGCGGACAAGAATCCAATAGCGACCGGCATCAGAATTCCATCCTCGGGGCGCTGGATTGTCGGGGGGTAGCAAGAGAGGTTGTGGCGGCGGTGGCAGCGGTGCTGGTGCTTTGCCTTACTACTTTCTGACAATTGCTGCTTTTCGCTAGTTCTGGCTGATGCTTACTGCTGACTATTTTCCTTATTGCTACTTACTACTTACTACTAAGCTTTTTCTACTACTTAGGACGTCCAACTTACTACTTGCAACGAAGTACTTACTGCCACTAACGACGACGACTACCAGGGCCACGACGAGAAGCAGCCAAGCATTTGGAAACAGACGGCATTCAAAATGAGACATGCCACAGCAGGAGGATGGGGAGGTTCATCCTCGAATACCTGCTCTGTGAAATGCTGCCAAAGCTCGAGGAGCTCAACCATGACGTTCCTCGGCTGTTCGTGTTGTACCCACTGCGTAAGTGAAGAGCCAGACAGAATAAGCATCGGACCATAGTGTGACAAGACAGGTACAACTTCGCTATGAGCAACCAGAGCCCAACGTCTACACCCGAACCTCTCAGGTATGAGGCCTAGCTTCAACTTCACGACGTTGATGCCGGACAGGAGGACAAGGACGCCAAAGAGGACCTCGGCTTCTGAGCTATTGATCCTGGGATGGGTTGGGATGCTACATGCATTTGACACTATGATTTTCACTTTTAGGGCAGAACTGCTTAGTCTTAAAGGCTTCAGTCATATGCATCATTCCTGCAGGGGCACAGTGCAAAAATCGCACTCACGGATGATGCAGAACTGTTGGGCTGTCCCTCTGATCGTTGGCAGGTTGCGCGGGATGATGCGCTTTGGGAATGCGAACAGAGCAGCGCTTTTGACAGCCCCTCTCAGCCTCAAAAGTTGCAGGCCACCTCAGGTGTATACTCCCACGCCTGCAGTCCTACAGCCAAGTTACATAAAGGCTGAGCATGGCTGAACAACTTGAGTGAGCCAACATGGTCTGCTTCAAACCTTCAGCAGGGAACCTGGTAGTTTACATTGACGCCCTCAAGCCAAGAAGTAGCCAGGGACGTCTGTAATGGAGCGGCAGGCCCTGGGCTCGCACATGACATTAGTATCTTTAATGACTGTTGTTCCTCAGTATGCCCTGAAAGGGACCTAACGGCCTTTAGTGGCCTTGACAATGTGCTGGGCCTGGACGTACTTGTGGTAAACAGGGACTGCAGATATGGAAAAGAACATGTAAACTACTACGAGTACCTTGTTTTCAGGACTGGGGGTTATATAAAGGTCATCCAGAGATTTGCTTGGGATTACATAGGGATTACGATTTAGTAAGAAGAGGGGTCTTTTGCCAGTAGCCTGCTTGAGGACTCCCAGGTCCCAGGCTACGCAGGTGAAGCTGCCGTAGAAGAAGGGTGCCTTGCAGCACCGCAGGGAACACCGATGTGGGTGGTAGGTAGATACCCCCGTATAACCCCTATGTATCCCCTATATAAGATACAGTAGATAGAATATAGGGGTTATATAGGGGTTACATTGGGGATAGTGGAAAAGAAAATGGAAACTGTTATTTAGGGTGGGGTTTAGGGCTGGAGACCCTACATGATAAAATGATGCCTGCTCTTCCCTACACAGTTTTCTAGCGGCCTTGGCTGGCTCTACGGCAGATACGGTACATAGCTCAAGCGATTCGCCCCTGATGCTAGGTCATCCTGGCCAA